CAGGTATTAAACACTAAACATTCATATTTGATGCCACCAAATCCGGCTCTAGTTGCCAACTCGATGAATTCATGCGGTGTCCTTTCCTTCCCTCCATGGTTTTTAATCATAATAAACACGTCCCTCTGAGCAATGGCCCTTGAAGCAAATATCTTTCTTGGGCAAATTTGGGGCGATTGCATCCACAACGATTACTTTTCCATTGTCAGGCATGGCATCGTAACAATTTTTCAACAGTTTAACACAAAGATCATCACTCCAATCATGTAGTATCCACTGCAAATTCATTTTCAAAATATTACACCTTCAAAGATTTACGTTTGCATTTAAAATAATGTATTGACAAGTAGTGTTTCTTGGTGTAGTAGAAAGCAAATTCATCACCCACCTTCACAAGTATGGCATCTCCTTTAGGAACACTTTGGAACATATCTCCTCCCACATGTTCAACCCCTACATGCAATTTATGTTTAAACAAACTGCGAAAGACATATAAATTAAGAAGCTTGACACATGCTAATATTGTAATCTCTAATGTTGCATACCGGAGTAAGGAGGGGCGTGCTGAACAACACGAGGCAAGTCGAAATTAATTCCCTTGATGGAAGGGTATTTGGAAGTGATGAAGCTGAGAGTGACTCCTAGACCACCACCAACTTGTGAACCAATTGGGTGAGGTGCTCAAATCCTTTGTAGGACTCAAGGATCTCCCTGATACTAATAGCGGTGTAATTGATCATTGCATTATTAAAAACTTGATTGAATCTGGAGTCTTTTGCAGCGTATTCGAAGGCATGAGTTCAATGGACCCTTTCAAATGGAGTACTTCCACCTTCAACAATTGCATCCTTCGATTGAGACCTAATAAGTAACAATGATGAAAACCAATTAATTAGAAAGGAAAAGAAAAAACTAGGTTAATGCCAATTTGGTCCCTCAATTTTAGTGTTTTATGTACTTTTGATCCTTAATTTTTTTACGCAACTTTTTTTGTTCCTCAAATATAAAAAATGTATTTTTTTAGTTATTCGGTTAGTTAGTCCATTAAGTTTTTCTATATATATACATTTTTAGTCCTTTAACTTTAGGATTTTATACAATTTTTGTTCCTTAACTTAAAAACTCATTGACTAAAAATGTGCATATATAGACATACTTAATAGACTAACTGACAGAAAAATTAAAAAAACACATTTTTTATAGTTGAAGAACCAAAAAAGTGCATAAGGAAGTTGAGGAACTAAGAGCTTATTTGGTATAACAGTTAAAATTCAATAAATAGTAGATAGTAAATAGTGGATAATGGGTAACAAGTAGTAAATGATAGACA